CATGGTTACATAAATACATACCCATGCCTTTCCGGCGCTACGTTCATTAAGGATGAAGCGGTACTTCAAACCCTCCAATGGCAAATCAGTGGCCAGTAAGGAGGCTATGGCAATGTTCGATGACAAGGAGAAGCGTACCGCGATTGTATATAGTGGTGGGGGGATGTGCGGGGCAGCTGCTGTTGCTGTTTGTTAACGTGCGCAGTTTTTTTTAATGATCTGTAGCTGCAGGCAACACGCTGGGCAGCATACTTCGAGCGGAAGGTTTCCATTTTCCAAACATGGAGGTCCAGGTGAAGCAATTGGTGCGAGAGCAAGAGTCGAACCGGGTGAAGGGAGGGTGGAAAACCGAGATCGACATGAAAGTGAAGGGGTGGAACGAGTACCATGCCTTAATATACGCGTGTGCATGTATGATATTTATAAAGCGCGCCATGTTTCACGTCTTCCAACCCAGGACTATGATCAGCAACGCCAAGGCCTGGGCCACTGCCAGGGGGTTAACGCGAATGAACGAGGTGCATGGCCAGGAAGAGTTCAAGGTTCCAACGGAGGAGGAGTTCGAGTACTTGCACTTGCGCCGTCGGGAAGGAGAGAGCTCTGCATCTTTCGAAGTTGAAGACCCCGATGGGTCTTTGCTCAACTTTGGGGACATGTCTGCCAAACAGACTATTGAGTTACTAAGCAAATCTATTTTGAGCAGATCGTCATTATATATATATATATATTATGGTCTAAATCGAACCCTACAGTTTGCTATCAGCCCAGGCGTGGTGCAAGTGGGGGGACCGTGAATCAACTTGCGGCCCAGAGCGCAGCCAATGCTAAGACGCACAACCTTCCCATGATCCAGCAGAACCAATGCCCCTTCGGTCACTTCGAGGTCATGTGATAAGGATGGTTGGTTGGGGCCAGCTTGATCGGTATTTGGAGTGGCTCGAAAGATTCAACGTCTAAGGTTACCTGTTGACCTACATGGAGCAAATGGGCAAGAAGGTGGACAAAATCGATGAGACAAAGGACCCGAGACTTCAAGACCTCTGTACGTGTATACGTATGTAGACGCACTGTTCCAATGGCATTGAACTGAAAATCATGCATGCTAGGAGAAGCTTGTGACTTTTGGGACTCCACGAGCGACAGAGTGTCCTGTCAGCATTCTTTAGCATGAATTTACAATATATATGTATAGAAAAGCATGCATGGCCAATCCACTCAGGATGGTGAGGTCGCTGACTTCCAGTCGTGAATCCTACAAGAATGTGCTTGACAAACTTGAAAAGTTTCAAGAGGACACCTGTTCACTTGCAGCGCCCACTGTGACCTGGCCATGTTGTATGTATGAATGTATGATAGCTCCATGCTCCAATCCACATGCATATTGAAATCATTGAGGTGGATCAGCAAGGGCAACTACGTGAGCTCTACATCGAGGCCATCAAATCCGACACCAAGGTCAACAACTTGCTTGCACGTGCCAGGACTGCTACAATGCTTGCCGAATATACCTTATAAACCCTTTTCATGCAGGAGCCTCAAGAAGCCGGTGGCCAAGGCAGGTGCGAAAGCAGCTGCTGCCAAAGCAGCTGCTGCCAAAGCAGCTGCTGCCAAAGCAGCGTCCAAGACCTCTCCTAAGCGCAAGCGCACGGGTAAGGGCAAGACAGAGTCCGATTCTGCGGCTAAGCAGAAAGCCGCGAAAAAGTGATCGAATGATCACAATCTTTCATGTGGGTTTCCAGCAGTAAACATTTACTGCACGGATATTTTGAGTGAGCGATGTCTCAAGTCACAGAAACTTGACCAAACTTTGGTCTTGAATGGTCTTGAAGATTTGTTGGCGGGGATTGAAAAAGAAATGTATTCAAAGCAAACACATACAACGTGGAACATATGATGTGCCTATATGTGCCTTTTCGATGCTCACCCCAGCTCACCCACCCTCACCCCTGGAGGTGGTTAATCAAGCGGAGCCCACGTGTTTTGCCAGGTGTATATGTGCGGTCATCATTTAGCAGCATGGTTGGAGGACTCAATCATTAATGATTCTAGAGAGCTGGGATGAGAAACATTTGGGGGCTGAAGGAGATCCTGATGAGCAAGTACGTTTCGAGAAGGACAACCAAGCTGCCATGGAGATCCTGGAAGATTACTTCGCCGGAGCCCCTTGGATTCATGTGCTCGGGTGGAAGAGTCAATTGAACATCTCCATAACTTTGGTGTTGCCTCACGAGATCAGGCAGAAAGTGCCCTGAGAAGTGCAAGAATTGCTGCCATTGCAGCACGGTCTAGCTCCTCTAACAGAAACTTGGCCAATTTTAAAGATGGCTGGAAGATGCCCGAAAATACTTTAGCTCAGCTCCCAAAAGAATTTTTGGGGCATCCTACATGTTCTGGACCATGATTGGATACCATAAAGGTTGGAACCAGTCTTCCTGTGACACGAACTGCCTCCTGCCACCGCCAAGGAGCAGGCAATCTTCTTGTACAGATCGCTTCCACCAAGAAGTCCAGCTCCCACGTAGACAGGAACCTTCGGCGGGTCATCCATAAGAATGGAGTATCGTTGCCGATTGAGATGGTAATGGTTTCTACAACCATACAGTTGCGGAGACCTGTGAGGGTTGCGCCCGTATACTGGCCATGCTTTTCCATGCAAAGCTGGGTGGTTGTTTTGCTGGAGAAGTTCCCTGAGTTTGTTCTTGGTGGCTTTACTTGGGAAGAATGTGCTCAATGGCAGGCAATGTTTTCATGGTTTTGGAAACTTACCTAGGGTACGATGGAGATCATCCAATATTTCTTGAGGACTTTGATCGCAGCCTATGTATCCCAATAGCTACACATGGTGATGAAGGCAGAGGCTTCCGCCAGTCTGCCTTCATGGTTGAATCCTTCCAGTTCGTTCTGTCCTACAAAGGGCCTCGTATGACTAACATGTCAGGGCAACCTGGTCAGAGTTTCAAACATATGTTTTGCACAGTTTCCATTTGTGATATGTGGATATGTGTTCTACCATGTGTAGGATGAGGTGACACTTGGTTCCAAGGCATACGTTTTGCACCCGGATGCTCTACACATGCATTTCTAGCAAGCTGTTCCACGGCGAGAAGACTCTGCGAGACCTAAACACAGAGTGGGCAAACCAAATGCGATCCCTTTTTTACGATGGGGTCCAGGCGGGGGTTCATTGAACATTATTCCAAACACTGAGGCCCCTTTCCCGTTTCAACCGATCTCCCTTTAGGTGGGTGGGAAAACACTGCGGCTGGTATGGATTGCTGGAAAAGGCGATTGGCCTTTTCAACGGAAGGCCCCACTTGAGCAATCCTCAAGCGTTTTCCAATGCAAGGGTCTGAGTTGAGTATTTCAGTGCCCGGAGGCCTTTGCCTTACGAACCGGTTTCACCAGTGACAGGAAGTGTCATCTCTGCAGCGGGGAGGCCTGTGATGCACTTCATTTGGGAACTAATATGAACTACAACTGTAATACGTATGTAATCTTGCTACTGCTCTCATCTTGTTGGAGGAGTGGCACCGGTTTGATCAGGGTGCTCCTTGGATGGCTTGCAGGCCAGGCCCTTCGCCCTTCAAGCGCGAAGGGTCTGTATTTGATGTGGTGCCCGGAGCCAACGCGGCTTCAAGAATATATCCCGACGTTGTTCACTCTTTCCACATTGGATTTGGTCAGGATCTAGCTGCCAGTTGTGTAACGTGGTTGGCCCACATGGATCAGTTCGGCCCAAACCCACGATTCGATGCGAAGCTGCGGGCAGCGTACACGAATTTCAGACAGTATTGCCACGACACCCACCGCTTCACAGCCTGTGATGAATGGAGCATGAAGAAATTTGGTATGAAAAAGTACCCTGGCTCCCGTTAGCTTGGTTATGTATACTATGTACCTCCCTATACCTCGCTATCTGACTCTCCAGGATCAACAGGGGTTCATCTAAGGATCAATGACTTCCCAACATCGGTTGCCGGGAAGGGCCATGATACAGCGGTTGTATGCAGGTGGCTAGATTCGTTTCTTTGTCGATGCGAGCCTAGACTGAAATGCTACCAAGAAACGCCGGGGCTTTCTTGTGGAGACTTGTGTAGTTGATGTCGACGGATAGCCTTAGCTGAATCCCCTGACCAAGGATCGCAACAATGATGTGCTCAAGGTGATGCACTACACCATTCGGCAATGCAATGTTTTCTTTGACATTCTTTATGGATATGGTGTTTTCATCCCGGCGGGGGAGTCAGCAAAGGCTTCCAAATGTGCTTTTGAAATCTGCGTGCCTCGCTCAGCTCTTGACTAGGCATTTATGTAGCAAGAGTGAGAAACAAAGAGGCTTAAAGCACGATACATTTGACAATCCCACATGTCTTTCAGGAAGGCTACTCGCAACTCGCTGGCCTAGCCCACAGAAGTGGCTTGAAACTGTTTAAGATCAGGCCAAAGTGCCATATGATGTATGAGATTGGGCTCTACTTAAGCCGTCCATGCCAGGCTGTGCTTTCACCCTTAAGCACATGTTGTTGGAGCGATGAAGATTTTATAGGAAGAGTCTCCCGGATCTCGAGATCCACGCATGGAATGACATGCAGCATACCTACAATGCGAAAAGCATTGGGAAATTATGGCATTCAAATGAAAAGGTTTGCCACGACTGCAGGCAAGAAACCCAGATGGCCGTGAGAAAGAGCAGCTCCAGAAGTGTATGTGCACGTGCACGCGTTGTGATTTTTCCCCAAACGTCTTAAACTCCTAAAACTCCTGGAAAGCGAGAACTCCTAAGAATTCCTCGGAGAAAGGTTCTCCAGGTCCGGCAAAAATGTGTGCCGTTTGAAGATCCAGGTATCCTCAGGTTCGGTGGCTACCCAAAAACCCACCCCGACCACCTTCTCAGGAGTTAGTTGGAGCCCAGGGTTTCTAGAGTACGAAAGAAGTTCGGCCCATGTCGCCACCTTCATCCACCCATGTCGAAGTTCAGCGACCAGTTTCCGACATGAGAGGCCTGTTGAAGTTGGTCTTTGCCACGGAGACCTTGGCGGCAGGGATCCACATGCCGGCCAAGGCTGTGCTGCTCAACTCGCAGCGGAAGAAGGCGTTTGACCGGTTGAGAAAAGCGACTCGCGACCAGTGCAGCGACTCGCGTTTACGTGGGAGCCGTTTGAGAAAATGGTTGGATCGTTTTGGTTGGAAGACGCAGTGGGTTTTTCGCCTGAATCGAAGAAGGTCATGAACAAATACTTGGGTGTGCATGATGCAAGTCGCATTGTGGTAGTTGCATGGTTAATTATAGATGGGCCGAGAGTTTTAATTAAAGCCCGACAACTAGTCAGTTTGATTTAGTTTGTATACTTTCAGAAAGGTGCCCGAAAAGTCAATGGCCAGCAAACATGTTACTTTTCGAGAGGATCCCGATAACATATAAACTTAGAGCAACTCACCATGGAGGATGCCCGCAATCCCGCACCACCCAACCAACACAGATCAAAACCACTCAAGAGCCAGGAGCCAACACATTACTTTTATACACCATTTTTCACCTTAAGCCTACTCAGTACATATATCAACACTGTGTATTCATGGATGATGGATGTTTCAGTGTATTCTTTTGTTAGTTTTATTAATCTCAGATGCATTTTTCCACTTCCCACTTCAGAAGTCGCAGGATGCCTTCGGCCTGCGCAGCCTCAATGGCACGGAGCTGCAGCAGATGTGTGGCCGTGCGGGGCGTCGGGGCTTGGACCTGCGAGGACATGTGTTGGTGGAGGGCCAGGCAGGGCGGAGGAGATGTGGAGATCCATGGTTTTGGGGGGGGTCCACAGTCCGTGCATGGAAGGTGTTGCTGTTTTTGTTGAAAAAGAAACAACTTTAATCCATGTTGTGGAGCCGGACCAGTCCGTGCGTGTTGTCTCGCGTCGAGATGGAGTGGAACGATGTGTTGTGAGGTAGTTGATGGAAACAGTTGCTACTTGTACTTTCGGTGTTTTGGCGCAATCCTACAGATTTCAACTTTTCTCAGAAGAGGGCGGCACAAATAGAGCCTGAGACCGTGCAAAGCCAATGAGGCATATGCTGCCTGAGACCGTGCAAAGCCAATGAGGCATATGATGGATTTCCAAGCAAGTGCTTTTATGCCGTTTTTTGCTTGAGACGAAACCATTGAAGCAACATGAGCAACGCAACATTGTCCCCAGTAGCCGCTAGCCTCCCATTGGCCATGTTTACACCCCCCTCAAGACTTTGCCACATGGTGGCTCCATTAAAGGCTGCTATAGTCGAAGTTTGATACGGCCAGTGCCAATGCTGGACCCTCACGTGCGGGTGTCCTTCCTCAGACCCCAAGCACCCTGCGCAGTCGCGATGGACCGCACGCCTGAAGGCCTGCTGGACCGCCCAAACACTGATCGATGGACCGCTTCCCTTGAGCTCCAGCTTCGCTCCGAGCTATGACATGCCTTTTGGACGGTGGGAAGGGGTCCAGGTGAACGTTCAAACCCCGACCTTTGGCCGACCTTTCTAATAAGAAGGGCACCATGCACAAAGGTCACAAAGCACAATAGTAGTAAGCTGATTTGTCCCTGGCTCATCACGAAGAAGTCCATAGACCATTTCCAAGGTGAAAAGACAAATCCAATCTCCGCCTCTGAAGATGAGTCGTATCCTTTATAGACCGCTGTTGCTTGCGGTCTATGGTCCATGGTCCGACCATATCCTCCACCTTTACCCTCCTCCGGCGACACAAGGCTATGTGCTCTCTTCACCGGTGGACGACTTGAGCATTCCGTGGCGGCCCTTTGCGCCGGCAGCTTCGCAGCCTTCCTCGCCCGGTCTGAGACGCCGGACGTGGGACACGCGCCGGAAGCGGAGGAGATGGGGGTCCCACGGGACTGCAGTTGGGGAAGTGGGCGGTTTCAATGTTGGACACTATAGGGATCTATAGGGATTACTATAGTAGCTTCTTACTACTAGTAGTAATGCCCTTGTTACTGGAAGCGATGCACTTGTTACTATCATGTTGGACCGATGCCATGCAGCCACATGTATGGTGCGCGAGTGACAGAAACTTTTTGGCCGTGTTCTTGGCTGAATGGCTGGGGGGGCCCTTTGCATAGCAACACTGTACCCATTATTGCTGCTTCCACCAAACAGAGTAAGAAGATGTAAGAACTGTAAGAAGATTTAATCAAGTAAAGGTGAGATCTGCTGTCAATCCTTGCCACAGGATATCCAAGTGCTACAAGATTACGGAGAAGAGCTAAAAGCCACAAGGGAGCTTCTAGAGGAGAATGGATCTTCCATGGAAGAGCTGGAGGAATACCTGCAGCTCGGACGGCTGGATGCAACAAATGTTGTAAGCAATTTGCTCTTTTTGTTGAAATCGACAGCGCAATGTGATTTCCTTTTTGGGGCAATCCATGGACTTGCACTTTGAGAGTTGGGAAGCGGAATGTTTGACACGGGGCTCGGGTCGGAATGTAAGGCGGAGGAAGCCACCATATCATACATATATATCATACCACCATATCAAATCTCAAGTTATTGTGAGGGTGGGGCCACGATACTTGATTTGTGTTGTGAAAATTGGATGGGAACAACGATGAAAAACGCCGCCAAGAACTAACAAGCAGACAAATATACCTGGCACTTCCAACGGGTGCGTCAGACCTGTTTACGTTTTGACCGTGTAGTCGAACGCCAGGACACCCATGTCCAGGATGACCCTGGTAGTTTCAAACATGTCTTCTCTTTGTTTTGTTCTTGGACACGACACCCATGTCCATGATTTGACACCCATGTCGGCCATCGATATCCGAGCGTCGTGGTGCCCGGACGAGCGTCGCGGAGGGAAGGCGGTGCGGGGCGCACCGTTCAGAGACGCCATCGCATGCCCAGCGGTCAGGAAATTGCGCTCCCAGCAGCAGCTCGACCTGGCTTTAGGCCAGGAAAGTCCGCTGCAAGATGATCCGAATTTGTCCGTCTATCCCTGGCCAGTTTCCCCCATCGCTTCCATGTGAGTTGAAAAAATAAACACGGTAATTTAATATGTATTAAGTAAGGAAGGTTCCCAGAGGTTCAGAAATAGCTTGGCCACCGCTTGGCATTCTGTTGCTTAACTTGGAGATGCTACCTTGTCGCGCTTGCAAAATGCAGGGTTGCGCTAGGTCTGGCGCTAGGTTCAAATACTTAGGTAAGATGAACAAACAACACATACACGCATTGGCAATAAAACTTGTTGAGGTATGAACGGACAACCCGGCCGTTTTGTTGTGATTGGTTTATGTAAGCAGGGGCCACCGACACCCATCCACTGCGGGCATGCTCCCATTGTGTTTCGGATTCTTTGTGCGTGGAAGAGCAGCTATATTGTATAATGATTTCAAAGCTATAGGAAAGCCGGCAGACCGCAACGCGTCCTCTTGATGACAGCCAGTTGATGGCCTGACGCACTGGCAGGGGAGCGCGCTAGATCCGCGCTAGACCTGCGCTAGATGCGCGCTAGACCACTCTGCAACTTTGACCACTTGGCCAACTGCTTACCAGGGCTACTACTCAATACACTAGAGACATACACACAAGCGGATTGCCTGCACGATGTTGCGCTGGGGTGATGAGAGTGAGTGAAAAGACGAGAAGGGCAGCTGGGGTGGGGGGGTTCGTATGCACGAGTAAAGAGAAGAACGATAGGAACATAATCTATCATATCTTGACAACTTGCTGCAAGCTGCTTATAAGAGGACCGCTACTTTCAGCTTCACATTTGGAACCGCCTGTAAGTTAGACTGCAGCTATGAAAGCGGCACGCGCAACATACAACCATATACATGAGCAGATGTCGTCTACATGAAAGCCACCGCTTGGAATTGCTGTGATTTGAAGCTAGGATAACGATTTTAGAGCGGATTTTTTTCAGCTCATGTGGTTTGAACTCTGTGACGTTGTTCACGGCGTCAGGTGAAAGCATCCATCATGCATTTCCATGTGAGTTCCGGTCATGATTTCGAGGCAATTTGGGCCACAGCGACGACGACGACGTTCTGGAGTTGGACGAAGCGCCGAGCCTGTTGGAGCGATCCTTGACTGGAGTCAAAGGGTGTCCCTGGTTCTTCCGTGCGTCACGGATCTGGAAGAGGCCTGGAAGAGGCCACGAAAGAGGCACAAGAAGCTGTGTTGTTTCACGCTAGGATGTCTAATACATGTCTCACTTACCTACCGTTTGGCTCAAGGAAAACCAGGTGCGACTTGTTGGTAGTTCTCGGTCGTTTGCCTGTAACTACAGGTTATCAGCCGTATCGCCATAAGTGCGGTACGTGCTTTCTACTAGCTGTGGTCTCACCCCACCATAGGTAGTGCACTATCTAGAGGCCATGGCTGATGATGATGGTTCCCGTGGTGACCGCTCACGCTCAGGCTACGTTCCTACTTCGCCTGCGATGTCCAGTTCACCTGCTACTGATCTCCCTGTCGTTCCGCTGGAGTTGCGTGTACCAATTGGGCCACCGACGTTCAGTGCACAGGGGGACCTGTTGCCTAGTGGTCAAGCCCCGTCGCCGTTTCAACCTGAGTTTTCTCCTGTGATGAATGTCCAGAACGTTGATGCAAGACAGATACATCAACAAGCAGTCTTCGTCAATGAGGACAGGTCAGCTCAGGTAGCTCAGATCGCGGAGTTGCGGCATCAGGCCATTTTGGCCGAGCACGGGCAACAAGTAGCGGAGGATGCTAGGCATTTTAGAGACTTAGTGGAGAACCAAGCTAAAGTGGCTGTCCAGGAGTCTAGGGAACAAATTGAGGCTTTAGCCAATCAACGATTGAGTGACATGAACCAAGCCCATCAAAATCAACATCTTCATGAACAACGGGCTTACCTAGATCGCCTTTCGCTCGAACGACACGCCGTCGTTGAGAACGAACGCGCCTCTGCCAAGCAAAGAGAGGATGCACTTCGGTCAGAGTTAGCTGAACAGAGTCGAATCATCAAGGAGTTGAGAGAGAGGTTTGACAACGCCTCGGGGAACCGGGGTCTCAGGTGTCCCCAGCTTTGCCTCCAGCGAGCCTTCGCACTCAGTTGGAGAAGCCCGGGATCGAAGGCGGTGATGAGCCTCATCCATCCGATGCTGATGAAGAGGGTGGTGACAAATCAAAGAAAGGCAAGAAGAAGAAAGGTAAGGATAAGAAGAAAGAGAAGAGCCCTAAGAGGGGCCGCTCGAGGGAGCGCAGAAAGAAACGCTCTCCTTCCCCATCACCCTCGTCACCCAGTTCATCAGGAGGGAGTGATGACTCAAATGACTCAAGCTCTGAATCATCGCGTCTTGCACGCATCATTCGCAAAGAGCTGAAGAAGCAGCAAAGGAAGTCGAAAGACAAGGATCATGAGAGTAAAGCCAAAGAGGCTGACAAAATTCTCATTCCCAAGTTCCCCACACCTGAGAAGTACAGAGACTGGAAGATCAAGGTGAGGGACAATATTGCTGCAGCTTCAGCGAAGCCGGATGAAGCGAGATCTTGGGTTGGGAAAGTATACAAAGATTCCCAAACCATTGATGCCTTGGATGATTCAGAGGGATTCGCGACCCTCGACGCAAAGCTTCTTGCAAGCTTAACCAATTGCGCTGAGGGGGACCTCGGTCGGCAGATTGCTACATTCAAGGAGTTGCGTGCTCGTGAAGACAAGAACGTGAAGGGAAGGCACTTGCTCCTTCGGTTCCACGAGTATTTTGCCACAAGCATTAAGCATGGAGCAATCTACGGACTCGAAGACCTCATGTCCGTCAAAATGGTCAACGATGACCTCAAGGGCTTTATAAATAAATGGGATAGCGTTCTTGCCGGAATGAAAAAGGAACCAGAAAATAGTGTTCTGGAAGCCTATTTCCACCTGGCAGTGAAACGTTTCAAGCCACTTGAGCATGATTTGGCCTTGTACGACCGTGCAGCCGATGGAAGCAAAGAAAGAACGTACGACTTCCTGATCACTGCTGCCCGGGCCTACCTCGAACGGAGAAGGTTGGAAAAGATGCGCGACGCCACGAAGCGTTCGCTCGGGTCCAAAGACACAACCATGCCAGCTCCGGAGGAGAAGAAAGGCATCTGCTACGAGTTTCAAAAGACCGGAAAATGCAAGCGCGGATCATCATGTCCTTACAAGCACGAAAAAGGCCGCGAGAAAAGCAAAGGAAAGGGAAAGGGCAAGGATCGCAGCCAATCTCGGTCAAGATCTCTGACACCAGGATCTCGCAAGGAGACTTGCAAGTTTTGGAAGGCAGGACATTGCCACCGAGGAAAAGACTGCGCATTCCAACACCCTGAAAAGACTGTCCCTGCGAAGAAAGAGGACAAAAAGAAGAAGAAGAAGAAGAAAGACAAGAAACCTCGCAAGCGAAGCAGCTCACGAGGTTCATCAGGCTCCGACAACTCAACTGGCTCTGAGAGTCAGAGGAGAAAAGGTGGGAAGTCTTCCTCTTCCAATGCACCGGCAGCGGTATGCCTCCTTCGAGCAGTGGTCATGGCCGCAGTGGTCTCTCAGGGATCCTCCGTCCTCATCACTCGCCCGCTGGGAAGCGTGGCCATGCCAGTCCTTTCCGCATCAAACACTATGTGCACCGATTTTGACAACACAGAAAATATTGACAATTTTGTTACGCAAAGAGTTCGTTTTGACGATCAACCAAACGTTTTCAATCATGCTGTTGAGTCTTCTTCCAGTTGGAGATCCGTTCAACCCCGGAGTAAGAAGAAACGAAGACCCTTCACACCAGGTCGACCGGAGCATGCTGAGGCAGTTCGTGTCGCTACTGAGGACGCATCCATTGCAGCATCACACCTTCAGAATGCTGTTAGGAACGAACTATTGTCCTTGTCGGCAGAATGTTCGTACCTATGCAACTCTGATATAGGTTGCATCAAGTGTTTTGAGAGGAGGTCATGTCCAACAGTGCCTGCCACTGAGATTGCATGGATCGCAGACACTGGGAGCGCACACGATCTTGTGTCTAGGCACATGCTACATTCGGATGAAGTGTCACAATCGTCCAAACCGGTCAGTCTTCTTACTGCCAACGGAGTCTTTCAAGCCACTGACCAAGCCAGAGTCAATGTCCCCGTGTTGGGAGCTGACATCAATCCTTACGTCTTGGAAGATAGCCCAGCCGTCGTATCGGTAGGACAACGCTGCATCGACGCAGGATGGAGCTTCCATTGGCCCGCTTACAGTAGGCCGTACTTCAAGAAACCAGACGGAACCAAAGTCAAACTTGAAGTAGAGGATTATGTTCCATACTTGCCATCAACCACTGGTGTTGCAATGTCCGCCATAGGTCAACCTCACGGTACGAACGATCGGTCAAGGGGACTGCGACCAATGATCCCTCTGCCCGCGTCGCCGGCTGAAGAGGCAATTGAGGTCCAGGACGATGAGGACAACCCCATCGGCGAGGATCCTGTTGAAGATGATCCCGAGCCAGTGGATGAAAGGTTGGTGGAGAAGCCGTTGGACCCGAAGAGGGATAGGGGAGAGAAAGCTCTTAAGGAAGAAGCACAATCCGTTCAGCATCTGTTGACTCATACCCCGAAGAACCCCTTTTGTCAAGCCTGCTCGAGAGCAAAGATGACCAAGCGTCCATCGTATAGCAAGGGTGGTTCAACCCAAGTGGAGGCGGATCATTTCGGACAACATTTGACTGCTGACCATCTCGTTATTCGTGACGATGAGGAAATGGACATCGATGGGGCTCGCGTCGCATTGGTCGTGAAAGATGTCGCAACGGATTTCAGATATTCCGGCCGCACGTCGATCAACGCGTGAATGCATAGCAGCCTTCAAGCATTTTGTCCGTTCGACTGATGATGTAGGAGTATTTTATTCCGACAATTCACCAGAACTCATCGCGACTGCCGAAAGGCTAGGATGGAGGCATCAAACCAGCTTTGCATACGTCTCTAAGACCAATGCTATGGCTGAGAGATCGATTCGGTCTGTCATCGATGGAACAAGGGTAAACCTAGAGCAAGCTGGCCTACACCATCAATATTGGGCTCACGCTGCCAGGCATGCATGCATGGCAAACAACATCGTCGACACCCGGGAGGGTAGTTCGCCTTGGTCGCTTCGATTCGGTGAGAAGTTCACAGGCCCTTTGGTTCCCTTTGGGTTGAGGATTGATTACTGGATCGGCCCCAAGAACAAAGCCAAATCCTCTCTCAGGTTCGAGCCAACGTCAAACCCAGGGATATTCTTGGGATATGCCGTTCAATCCAATTTTGTGTGGAGAAAGGAGTTCATGGTTCTACCATTGAAGGAGGTCATGGAATCAGACTTCAGTGCGGAGATCCAACCATTAAGAGTCCATCAGATTGCCGTTCCCGACATCGGATTACACTTCCCATGCAAAGGTAGGTACAACATGATAAGAGAAGGTCTGTACCCAGGCATTTCCATTTCGAGCAATCCGCCATCAATTGATGATGTCAAGGCTGCAAACATTGAAGAGCTTGTTGATCAGGAGGTTTTGAGACATGCTGTTGACCAAGAGTATGAACCTGATGAACCACCGGAACTCCCTGACGTGCTTGTTGACGATGCACCCATCGCAGCTCGCGGGTCGGGAGACCTTGCCGATGGTCCGGGGGGTGAAGAGGTGGAGATGATTGAGGTTCTTGATCCTGTTACGGGTGAAACGACTTTGATCCCCAAAACCGATTCATCTTACTATGATGCCGGAGGTTACAAGGCAAGAAAGTACAAGGGTTCGTCAAAACCACCCAGCATTCCTCCGTTCCTTTGGAAAGCCGCTTCCAAAGCAGAAAGGAAGAAGGCGATTGCAGAGTATGAGCTTGAAGAGGCTCGGAAGCGCCTTCTTGCTGAGAAGAGCAAGCATAAAGCAGCCGTGGCAGAAATTGACGGCAAACTGCGAAATTTCAAGAGCGGAGACATACCCTCTGAAACGAAAATGGACGCCACCTGGGAAGGTGTGCCTTTGATGCCGGTTGAACATGAGGAGAAACAGCATTCACATAGAGAAAAAGGAGTTCTGTATGAGCCATGGCTAAACGCACTAGTGGCGAGGCCTGTA